GTGTTGTTTTTGCTTTGGCTCCATCCCTTCATTCTTTCTGGAGTTATTTCTCCACTGATCTCCAGTAGCATATTGGGCACCTACCGACCTGGGGAGTTCATCTTTCAGTGTCCTATCATTTTGCCTTTTCATACTGTTCATGGGGTTCTCAAGGCAAGAATACTGAAGTGGTTTGCCATTCCCTTCTCCAGTGGATTAGGAGATTAACTCTGTCTGGTTTAGTCATAGCTTTTCTTCCAAGGAGCAACTGTCTTTTAATCAAATGGTTGCAGTTGCCATCCACAGTGATTTTAGAGCCCAAGAGAATAAAGTCTATCACTGTTTCCATTGTTTCCCCATCTATGTGACATGAAGTGATGGGACCAAATGCCATGATCTTCATTTTTTGAAAGTTGAGTGTTAAGCCAGCTTTTTCCCTCTCCTCTTTTACCTTCAACAAGAGGTTCTTTAGTTCCCCTTTGCTTTCTGTCATTAGAGTGGTGTCATCTGCATATCTGAGATTATTGATATTTCTCCCTGCAATCTTGATTCCAGCATGTGCTTCATCCAGCCTGGCATTTCACATGATGTACTCTGCATAATAGTTAAATAAGCAGGATGACAATATACAGCCTTGATGTACTCCTTCCCCAATTTAGAACCAGTCTGTTGCTCCACGTCAACTTCTAACTATTGCTTCTTGACCCACATACAGGTTTCTTAGGAGGCAGGTACGGTAGTTTGGTATTCCCATCTCTTTAAGAATATTTAATAGTCTGCTGTGATCCACACAGTCAATGGCTTTAGCATATTAATGAAGAAGTAGATGTCTTTCTGGAATTCTCCTGCTTTTCCTGTGCTATGCTGTGCTTAGTCATTCAGTTTTGTCTGACTCTTTGTGACCCCATGGACCATAGCCCACCAGGCTTCTCTGTCCATGGGGATTCTCCAGGCAAGAATACTGGAATGGATGCCATGCCCTCCTCCAGGGGATCTTCCCAACCCAGGGGTTGAACCCAGGTCTCCTAGATTGCAGGTGGATGCTTTACCGTCTGAGCGACCAGAGAAGTCCATGCATATGGAGTGGGTAGACTATCCCTTTTTCAGGGATCTTCCCGAGCCAGGAATGGAATCAGGGTCTCCTGCATTTGAACCAATGGATGTTGGCAATTTGATCTCTGGTTCCTCTGCCTTTTCTAAATCCAGCTTGAACATCTGGAATTTCTCGGTTCACATAATTTTGAAGCCTAGGCTGAAGGATTTTGAGCATTACCTTGCTACCATGTGAATTAATGCAATTGTGCAGTAGTTTGAACATTTTTTGGCATAGCCCTTCTTTGGGATTGGAATGAAAAGTGACCTTTTCCAGTCCTGTGGCCACTGCTGAGTTTTCCAAATTTGCTCACCTAGATAAGCACGATGGTCTTATCACTCACCTAGAGCCAGACATCCGGAGTGTGAAGTCAAACAAAGCTAGTAGAGGTGAAGGAATTCCAGCTGAGCCATTTCAAGTCCTAAAAATCTCTGTATACCCAAATTATAGCAAAGGCACAAGAGAAAATATTCAATAAATGTTAATGAGAATATGCCAATGAATTACTATGAAGTGGATACGAAAAGTCACACAAAATTCTGAGCCTATGAATGACTGCAGCAATAGGCAATCATAAATTATATCCTCAGTCTTCAAAAAAAATCAAAGAGAATAAGAGATTTTTAAAGTTTCAATTTGTTACAGAAAAAAAAGGACATTAAAATCTAGTGTTTTCTCACCTGAAGTCAGATTCCTAGCTGTACTCTGTGATTTCTGCATTTCAGTAGATTTAAAATTGAGATCATCCTGCATCATCTTCAGCTCCTGATTGGTGATAGAGGATATCTGTTTCATACGATTTATATTCTATATTTGCAGAGACATAAAAGTGGAAAAAATTCCATTGATTTAACTTTCCAATAAAACTCTTAAAAATTTCGCTAAATGACTGGATGTTTTGAAAGGGAGTTCTTTTTTGAAATATATCATTCATTATGTATATATATTTTATAAAAGAATACATGATATTCAAAGTCAGATTTCTCAGTAAGGAGAGGTTAAATTAAAATTCAGAATTGTTTCTTTTATGTTTGATTTATTTCACTGTAGAAAGATTCAACTATACTATTATAGGAACTAATTGGATTTTTAAAACACTTAGAATATTGAAAAGAGATCATGTATTTTTCCTCCTATGGTACCAACACAACAGTGGCTGCTCAATAAACATTTTTTGAGGAATCAAGATATTCATCAGGTATCCTGTGCTCTTACATAACAGTGAGTATTTGCAGTTTCTGAGTTGTATTTATAAGGTAACCACAGTAAAAATAATGAGGACAGTAAGATCAGCACATGGCACTTACTCGACTACTATGCTCCAAAAGCGAAACAATGTTGGCTTCTATCTGTGCCTTCCTTTCCAGTTCCTGGTTCTTAGATTCCTCAAAAGTCTCAATAAAAGCTGTCGAGTGAAAAATATGATGAAAGGCTACTGTTGATATAAGCTCTGATTTGTAGGCCTGAGGTGTACTTTTTAGAAAAAGTTCAAAGCAAATTTTTAACTATCACTTTAATTTTTTAACCCAAGGGTAATTAATTTACTCAATAAGAACATTTCTACATACTTTCAAACTTTTAAAGTTTAACTAGTATGATCTTAATACAAGTACACTAAATATTTATAAATGCAGGCTCAGAAGCAACAGCTGATAAGATGGAGATAAGAAAAATTCCTATGGTTTTACACTAGGATCTCATTGATACAGCTGCAATTATTAACATCTATAACTGGCCACTAACTTTACTTCTGAAAATACTACTATACCTTTTTTACCTGAAAACTGAGCATTTTCGTTGTAATGCCAAAATAGTCTCAATTAAATAAGTTTAGTGATTTATTCAGATTATAAATAAATATTCTAAGAAATCATTCTTTTCCTTCTCTAATATAGAATTAGTATATAATTTGCTCTTATTTACATTCTTAAAATATTTCTATGGATCTTCCGAAAATTAACTTAATATAATTTTACTATTTGCATGAAACAACTAATTTTGAAGTAGTTTTTGGTACTTGTTGAGATTTTTAAAGTAGTCTTGGGATACTGTTAAACCAGAGTTGGCCATTACTGATTTATAACATGATTCTATGAAGGTAACAACTGACATCAGACTTACAAAAATGTCAAATTATAGAAAAATGATAATTTAAAAGAGACTAGTAATCATTAATATAGCCAATTTTTATAAACTTTTGAATGTACAACATAAGTTAAAGTGAACATCTATTTACAAAGTTAAAATTCAGATTTTTTTTTTAAAAAAAGTGAATGAGAAGCCACCAGCCCAGGCTGGATGCATGAGACAAGTGCTCGGGGCTGGTGCACTGGGACGATCCAGAGGGATGGGATGGGGAGGGAGGCGGGAGAAGGGATCGGGATGGGGAACACATGTAAATCCATGGCTGATTCATGTCAATGCATGGCAAAAATCACTACAACATTGTAAAGTAATTAGCCTCCAACTAATAAAAATAAATGGAAAAAAAAAAAGTGAATGAGAAGCCACAACAGAAGTTTCAGTTAGTGACAGAACCAAGAAACAAAATCAGAGATGAGGGCTAATACATAACAAGATAAGTATTATGAAAAGTGTAAAAAAAGGTGAAAGATATTAAAGGTAAAGCATGTAAGAGAGAATATCCAATGTTCAATCAATGAGTGCTCTATAGACTCTCTATACAGATATCAATGTAAATATTAGCTTTAGAATCTATCCCTAACATACAGTCATACACATATATACACATGTACAAAATCTTTCTATAATTCTCTACCCATCCCTAACCTATGCTAGATATTTAGTAATACTTCAAGTCAAATGCTTTGAATGTACACACTTATGCACTTATTATTAGTCACTGCATCTTCCCAAAGTGAGATCTCTGATTTAGTATAAATGAACAACTATCTGAGAATATAACATTTTCACATCTATAAGATTATCACTTACTGTCCATATTTTCCTCCCTCTTTTTTAGCTCCTTGTACTTCTGATTCATTTCACCTATAAGCAATAAAAGAAAACAACATTAATTTTAAAAACTCCAGTTACAGTACTCAAAATTAGAAATATCTCTTAGGTTCTTAGTCACAGACAATGCCATTAGTCACTACATATTCAGTGTTTAATATTAATGTTCAATTAGGTGAGATTCATTTAAATTGATTTTATTTTAAAAGTTATATATGTATATGCTTGACTACTTGGTAAAAAACAATCTCCTTACTGGAAGAACTGAAAAGGTCTCCAAAGTTTCCCTATTTTAGTTCCAATTTCAACCGACACATGAACACACTGGTGATGGGAAATAAATGCTCCCACGAGAGTTCATTTCATCTTTGAATAGCTCACAACAGCAAACAAAATAGCAGGGTTAGATTCCTCACAGAACTTAAAGTTTAAAGATTTAACAATTAAAATGTACTAAGTGCTATTAGATGAAAGTAAAGGATATAACAGCAGTACACAGCAAAGACAATCTAGTTTGGAGATTCAGGAAATTTTTCACTAAAGTAGTAGTATTTAACATGTGTGCATTATAAAGAAAGGATGAATAGGAGTTACTGGGTCAAAATATAGAAGAAGTTCAAAATGAAAGCATTATAAGTACTGAAATTTGAAAGTGAGGATGAATATGGTAGCACAAGGAACTGAAAGAGAATATGAAGGGGAAAAAGTGGTCCAAAGATGAGGTAGGAGCAGGTGGGATGAACTGCGAGTGTAGCACTGACATATATATATACCACCAAGCGTAAAACAGATATCCAGCAGGAAACTGCTGCACAGTACCGGAGAGCTCAGCTCGGTGCTCTGTGATGACCAAGACGGGTGGGACGAGGAGATGAGAGGGAGCCCCAAGAGGGAGGGGACACGTGTATACTTACAGCTGATTCACACTGCTGTACGGGAGAAACTAACACAACATTGTAAAGCAATTATATTCCCATTTAAAAAAAAAGATGAGGTAGGTTATGAAAGACCTTATATGGCATATGTTATAAAAGTTTGGATTTTCTCCTAAGGACACTGGTAAGATTACTGAAGAATTTTAAGCAGAGGAATAAAATTATCGATTTGCATTTCTAAAAAAATATTTCTGATCAGGAGAATAAAAGAGAAGACTGGAGACAATAAGACCAGTTAGGAGGTTGTCAATTAGGATGTAAGGTAGAGACTTTTTTTTTTTTTGAGACATTTAAGAGCTAGAGTGAATTGACTGTAATGAGGGTTGGAGATGGAGAACTCAGGTATGACTCCCAGGTTTCTGTCTTGGGCAACAGAGGACACTGTCGTATTAGTTACTGAAAGAAAGAAAAAAGTTGAGGAAGAAGTTGCTTGAAGTAATTCTAGACATTAAGTTGCATTTAATATATGTGAAAGACATGATTAAAAGGGCAAAAATCCAAGGCCCAAACACAAGGATGAAATCTGACACTTTATAGCTGCATAAAGGGATCATTAGTAAAACTAGATCATTATTATTTTAGAAAAACAGGATTTTTAGTATAACAAAAATTGAGATTTGGAGGCCCAGGGCTATTTTCTTCATCTAGTGAGATGGCTGCAGTTCTGTGCTCCCAGGATCCCAGGTAGAGAAAATAGAATAAATCTGTGCTTGCTCCAATCTTTAGTTACTTCATTAAAGTCATTGGGTTCTTAGCATTCCGGAGAAGCTAAGGAAGTTTACTAAGATGATGCCCAGCAAAGATAGAGAGAATAAGAGATTTCTAAGGGGGCTCCTGGTAAGAAGCTGACATTTAGAATGACTTTCAGAAGAAGGACTCAAAGAGAATGGGGGAGTCAACAGTTAAAATGTTCAGAGGTTAAAAACCCACTGGTCAGCCTGTGTTCTATATAGCCTCCTATTAAATATATGGTTTTGCCAGGTGCCAACTAAAACAGCAATAATGCTAGGGAGTGAAGTAGATAGAGTAGAACCCCTAATTACATGGCAGCTATGGATTTCCACTTGTATACTTGCTTGGGTAGGAAGTGGGTTACCAGTATATAAAGGTGATGGCGAAGTCAGAGACCCAAGTCAGCAGACAGCTTTTCTGCTTCCAGGTCTGAAAACACTTTCCCTAAATTTGTTAAGGATAGCCCTTACACAGAAAAAAAAAAAAAAAACCTGTCAAGGCCCCCACAACAGTGTGTGTGTGTGTGTGTGTATGTGTATGTGTGTGTGTGTTAGTCACTCAGTCGTGTCTGAGTCTTTGTGACCCCATGGACTGTAGCCTGCCAGGCTCCTCTGCCCATGAATTCTACAGGCAAGAATACTAGAGTAGAGTAGGTAGTTAGCTATTCCCTTCTCCATGGGATCTTCCTGACCCAGGGATTGAACCAGGTCTCCTGCATTGTAGGCAGATTCTTTGCCATCTTAGCTAGCACGGAAGCCCACAACAGTACTCGTAGTGAAAAGCTGAAAGCAACTGAATAAGGATAGTAAACACCCAGAAGTCATGAATTGCCAGCGGGGGAATACTCAGAACCAATGGGAAACATTTGGTTCAATCTGACTAAGGCTTTGGATACATTAACGTTAGTGAACTACTACTCAGTTCAGATGAACATCAGTGGTCTCAGCATACTGATGCAGCATGATTAGTTTCATAAGGGGAAGAGGAGGGATCTTTTTTTTTAACTTTTAATAATAAAGTTTGTATATGATTAAACTTTTTTAAAAGTACATTGTAGATGGATTAAGATTAGTCTTAAAATGATGTTACCATTCAGTTATTTGCAACATCAGTTTTTGGACAAGAAACACACAGAGAACATGAATTTATTATAGCATACATGATCTGGAATATCCTCACAGCAAGCTGATACGCATGCATGTTAAATAACATGTGTGAAGCAGCAGAAAAGTTAGTATCGGCTAAATTGGTCACAGCCTAGGTTTCTAAGAAAGTCCTAGTGCTTGTGTGGCTGTGTGAGAAGTTGTCCTCTTGGGAGATTGGTCAGGCATTAAGGGATTAAAAAAGAAGGCCTGCATCACAGGCTTTCCAGGAATTTAATGACCATTTTATCTTTCCTCTTCTAAACTTAAGAGAATTTTCTACACAGGATGTTTTCAGTTCCTCATCTTGCTATTAGACCTCAAGACACATAATCAGGCTTATCCTGATCACAGAAAGATGATGATTCCTCAATTATCAAATCTAACAGGCAGTTTTGAGTTATTTTACTCTTCAATATCTACTGATACATCTTTCTTCTTCTAATTCTTTCCCCCTCGTGTTTTGCTGCTTGCAGAGGCAGCTTTTCTGGTTTTTCTTACTTTCAGATCTTTCCTTCTCTGTCTCTCTTCACAGATTTCCCTTTCTTCATTTAAATTCCAGATTCTTCTCTTAGTTGACTTTTAATGCTACGTTCTTTCCTTTTCTCCTTTGCCTTTCGCTTAGGAAGAGAAAATAGACAAAGGAGAAAAGGAAAGATATACCCATTTGAATGCAGACTTCTAAAGAATCGAAAAGAGAGCCAAGAAAGTCTTTCTCAGTGATCGATGAAAAGAAATAGAGGAAAACAATAGAATGGGAAAGACTAGAAATCTCTTCAAGAAAACTAGATACCAAGGGAACATTTCGCGCAAAGATGGGCACAATAAAGGACAGAAATGGTATGGACCTAACAGAAGCAGAAGATATTAAGAAGAGGTGGTAAGAATACATAGAAGAACTACATAAAAAAGATCTTCATGACCCAGATAATCACGATGGTGTGATCACTCATCTAGAGCCAGACATCCTGGAATGAGAAGTCAAGTGGGCCTTAGGAAGCATCACTAAGAACAAAGCTAGTGGATGTGATGGAATTCCCGCTGAGCTATTTCAAATCCTAAAAGATGATGTTGTGAAAGTGCTGCATTCAGTATGCCAGCAAATTTGGAAAAGTCAGCAGTGGCCACAGAACTGGAAAAGGTCAGTTTTCATTCCAGTCCCAAAGAAAGGCAATGCCAAAGAATGCTCAAAGTACTGCAAAGTTCCCCTCATCTCACATACCAGCAAAGTAATACTCAAAATTCTCCAAGCCAGGCTTCAACAGTATGTGAACCATGAACTTCCAGATGTTCAAGCTGGTTTTAGAAAAGGCAGAGGAACCAGAGATCAAATTGCCAACATCTGCTGGATCATCGAAAAAGCAAGAGAGTTCCAGAAAAACATCTATTTCTGCTTTATTGACTATGCCAAAGCCTTTGACTGTGTGGATCACAATAAACTGTGGAAAATTCTGAAAGAGATGGGAATACCAGACCACCTGACCTGCCTCTTGAGAAACCTGTATGCAGGTCAGGAAGCAACAGTTAGAACTGGACATGGAACAACAGACTGGTTCCAAATAGGAAAAGGAGTACGTCAAGGCTGTATATTGTCACCCTGCTTATTTAACTTATATGCAGAGTACATCATGAGAAACGCTGGGCTGGAAGAAGCACAAGCTGGAATCAAGATTGCCGGGAGAAATATCAATAACCTCAGATATGCAGATGACACCACCCTTATGGCAGAAAGTGAAGAAGAACTAAAGAGCCTCTTGAGGAAAGTGAAAGACGAGAGTGAAAAAGTTGGCTTAAAACTCAACATTCAGAAAACGAAGATCATGGCATCTGGTCCCATCACTTCATGGCAAATAGATGGAGAAACAGTGGAAACAGCGTCAGACTTCATTTTTTTTGGCTCCAGAATCACTGCAGATGGTGACTACAGCCATGAAATTAAAAGACGCTTGCTCCTTGGAAGAAAAGTTATGACCAATCTAGACAGCATATTAAAAAGCAGAGATGTTACTTTATCAACAAAGGTCCGTCTAGTCAAGGCTATTGTTTTTCAAGTAGTCATGTATGGATGTGAGAGTTGGACTATAATGAAAGCTAAGCACTGAAGAATTTAAGCTTTTGAACTGTGGTGTTGGAGAAGACTCTTGAGAGTCCCTTGGACAACAAGGAGATCCAATCAGTCCATCCTAAAGGAGATCAGTCCTGAATATTTATTGGAAAGACTGAC